CAATCAAGGGAGGTTCTAGGCTCTATTTCTTTATCTGCAAGACAAAGATTAGACTAGAGCAGCTCTTTACAAAGCTTTTACCTGACTCTCCCTTTGCCAAAAAAAAAAAAAAGGGTTCCATGATTAACTATTTCTCAGATACTGGTTAAGCAGGTTTCTTTACTGCAGGATTTTTCAGAGACGAGATATGTTAATGTGTGCAAATCTCCAACACTGATCTGGAGGGTTCTTGAGACCCCTTCAGCTCTAATAAGCTATGCTTCTGCGATAAGGTCTTACTGTGCAGGCAGGACAAGGATGAGGAACCTGGAAGAAGATGAGGGTCTTATATTTCAGATTAGATTGGGAAAGGCTGTCAATGCCAAATTAAGGACTACAGACTTCATTATGCAAAGTAAGTAGTTGAGAGGAGAGGCAAGTTCCAAGCTGTGCTGTAGAAGTACACTCCAGGGCAAACTCCAGGATGGGAGAACAGAGGTGGAGATGTTACTGCTGCCACAAGACATGAAGGGCCAAGAACTTGCTCTGGGACAAGCAGCCACTGGGACTGGAAGGAAAATGACCCACAAGGCTGAGGCAGGAGGAAGAGGCCCAGGGACTTATAAGCTACAATGTCAGGTGCTTAGGAGATGCTCTAGAAGAAATGGAGAATTCAAGAGGAAAACTTTGCAGGAAAGTCAGATTGCATGAGCACACACACAAAAAAGGGTAAAATAAACAGAAACTGTTGAGAGTTAACTGAGAAGTACAGTAAATCTGAGGCTTCAGTTCTAGAACTTGAAAAGCTTGAAAAGCTTTGGGGCATTAAATAGTCAAGGGGTGAATTCAGATGCTCACGACTTGATATTGAGGCATAGGGTTGAAACTAAATGAACTATCAACAAATAAAGCTAAAGTTTGGCAAGCACTGTATTAAGTGCTTTACATATATTAACTCATTTATTCCTAATGCCACCACCACAAATTGCTCTTACTACTCCATCTTTCAGATAAGAAACTGAGCTCCAAGAGGCTGGCTTATCCAAGGTCAAACTGCTACATTAGGTGAAGTGACTAATATTCAAATCCGGTGAACCTGCAAAGCCCATGTCTGGATTGCTATGCTATGAGTTCCTCAGTGTTCTCTGCATCTACAGAAAACCATCTTCTATAGATATTGATAATCAATCCTGCTTGAAAAATGTACACCTAACATTCCCTGGGAGGGTCACAGGATTTCCCAAATTCAGTTCAACTCACCCAGCATGTACTAAGCACTTGCTCTATGTCATCAGTTTACTTGTAACCATGGCTTCAGAAAGTGGTACAAGACCCGCCCCTGACTTCAAAGACCTACCTATCTGTTAGAGCCACGAGATAAGACACATACAAAGCAGTATGAGCAATAGAAAAGTAAATGATTATGGTTCAAAATGAGAGCTGCAGATAAAAAAAGAAAACCATATCTTGGCTGCTGAGAGAAAGGAAGGTCACGGTGGGCTGAAGTGGTTTAGGAAGGCTTTCTGAGAGGCAGCACAGGGGCTGGGGCTCAGGGGTTGGGAGGGACTACAGGCAGTCTGACAATATGGAGTGGGGTGGGAAGCAGAGATGAGCAAGACAGGAATGAATGGAGGCAGGGATGCCAGACAGAGGTCTCCTGAAAATCAGTGTCCACAACACAACTGGGAAGACAAGTCTCCACCTGCAGACAAACCCACAGGTGTAGGCTAGACAATGAGGATAAAGACTGCTGGTTCTGCACTCTGGGCACCTATCCTACCGAAATGCTCGCCTATGGTGAGGGCATAAACATCCTATGGATGTTCACTGTAGCATTGTTTCTAAGAGGGAAAAGGTTGACCCAAAATGGCCGGCAACAGGAAATGGATTAACTGGAAGAAGATACTTTCAGTTCAAGGTAGTCATCAGAAAAAGGAAGCTGACATGAAGTGATCTCCAGGATGTATGAATACTAGGAATGAAAAAAATGCAAGCTGCAGAGCAATTCTGTGGTTTACTACCATTGATGAAAAAGAAAACTACATGAATGTATATGTGTGTGTCTGTTAGTATATGTAAAAATACAAAAGAGCACCAAATTTATTGCGATTATCTCTAGAGACAAGAGGGGGATGACAGTAAAAAGGGAATTTTCACTTTTTTAAAAATAAATTTTATTGGGGAACAGTGTGTTTTTCCAGGACCCATCAGCTCCAAGTCAAGTAGTTGTCTTCAATCTAGTTGTGGAAGGTGCAGCTCCTTGGCCCATGTAGGAATCAAACCGGCAACCTTGGTGTTATGAGCCTGCACTCTAACCATCTAAGCTAGCTGGCCGCCCTTTTCACTTTTGACTCACCATAGCTCTGCACTGTTTTAAGTTTGCAATGAAAATTTATTCCTGGGGTGACCAGTTAACTCAGTTGGTTAGAGCGTGGTGCTGATAACACCAAGGTTGCTGGTTCGATCCCCATAGGGGCCACTGTGAGCTGTGCCCTCCTTAAAAGAGTCAACTATGCCATTGTAGCATGAAAGCAATGTGTAACCAATGACCATGGCTGTTCCCCAATAAAAAAATTTAAAAAAAAGAAAATTTATTCCTGTGTTAAAAAGACTGTGGCAGGTCTAGTGGCGCATTGGTTAAGAGGTGGCTTGGGACACCAGAGGGCCCCAGTTTGGATCCCACATATGAGGGCCGGTGACACTGCCCTCTACAGCTAAGATGCTGAACAACAGCTCTACCTGGAGTTGGGCTGCCGTGAGTCGCCAGCGATGGCGTAGGCTGCAGCCACTGCTGCAGTGGGTTGCCATGGGCTACCCTATGTAGCCAGCAGCCAGCGTGAGCGGCCAGCGACCATCCAGAAGCCGGCGACTGATCTGCCTCGCCCGGGAAGAGCACAATAATGGTGCCAACTTGGGCCAGTGAAGCAACGTCCTCCACAACTAGACTGAAGAGTGAAGGGACAGCAACTTGTCTGTTCCCCATCCCCCAATTCCCCAATGGGGGGGGGGGGAAGACTACAAGTTCCATCCAGACTGGTAGATCACATATGTTTAACCTGCCATGAGGGCAAAGAATGCAAAAATCACACAAATAGGACCATAAAAGTTTACAGATGGGAACCTTAAGGATGTACTGATTCAAAACTCCAGAACCTCTGGAGTGCAGGACAGGGCAAAGCAAAGAATCTGTACTAGGATGTGGGAGGGCACTGGGCAGGAATAAAGAAATTAAACCCCAGCTTTCAGTGCACTGTTGGGTTGAAATCTTTGGAAGATCAGCTTATTACTGATTTTCAAAATGTACAAACCAGGGATGCTGTTTTATCTGCTCTCAGCCTGGTCGACATTTATTCATTCTTTAAGACTGGGCTCAAATGTTGCTTCTCTCTTTAAATAAAATTAATTTTTAATTAAATTGCCAAATTAATTCTAGCAACTTTTAGACAATACATAGATAAAAATTAAAAAATTAAAACAGCCTAAGGGGCCGGCCAAGTGGCTCAGTTGGTTAAGAGCTCGCTCAAGAGTTTGAGCTCTGAGCAACAGCGGTTCGAGTCCAGCCCGAGCTGAGCTGCCACTGAGCTGCCAACAGGTAGCAGGATGGCTGAGCTAAAAAACAAACAAACAAACAAAAAACAGCCTACCGTCCTACCACCCAGATAGATAGCCACAGTTAACATTCTTTTTTTTTTTTTAACAAAAATAGGACTGTGGTAGAAAGTTTTGTAAGCTACTTTTTAATTTATTAAACAGTATATTGTGAAGTTTTCCACATCATTTAATTTTCCTCCACAGCATCTTTTTAAATTACTTCATCATTTGAAAAATAAGAGCAACCTTTTACTGAGGTACTGTGCTAAGCATTTTATTTACATTATCTCAATTAATCTTTAAAACAAGCACCCCCCCCAACACACACACACACACACACACACAAAAGCTTAGATGGGGGCGGGGGACTGCTGATTAGGGGTTGTTGCTAGAGGTTGGGAGAGATGGGTGGGTACCTGGCCAAAGTCACACTACTTATCAAGTGACAGACTGGGATTCACACCCAGGTCCATCTAACTCAGAACTGTGACTTCCTGACCACCAGGATGTCCAGTGCTAAAAATGGACCACAGTTCCTTACACCAATCTCTAGCTGCCTGGCAATTTGACTGTTTCTAATTTTTCTCTATCATAAACAGTGCTATGACAGACACCCCCACAGCGAACCTTTTGTGATCACCTCCCTCCTGGCTGGAAGCTTCCTGACTGTTCTAGGCAAACTGTTTCTCAAACCATCTGTGGCGAAAGACCAATCTTTTTTATTTTCAATCCATCACAGACCAATATTTTTGTAAAATACAATGAAAATTCATTTCCTAAACAGGAAATGAAAAAAACACATACAAAATACCAGCCCCAAATGGCTAAAATAATAAAGTTTATATTACGTATATTTTAATCACATTAAAAAAAAGACGGGGGTGGATGGTTAGCTCAGTTGGTTAGAGTGCAGGCTCGTAACACCAAGGTTGCCGGCTC